ATATATAAGACCCACATGCTGAAGACTACAAAATATTGCTGAGAGAAGATCAATATAGGTGAGGGATAAACCAGCTCCATAAATGCACGACTTAAGACGTCACTGCTCCCAAAACTCATGTATAACTTTTATGTAATTAAAGTAAAAACCCAAGCATGCTTTTTTAAATGTTTAATAGAAGCTGATTCTAAAATTGACATAGGAATTCAAAGAATCTAAAATAGCCAAGACAGTACTGAGAAAGGATACCAAGTTGGTACTATCCAATTTCAAAATATAAAGGAGTAGTATTCTAAGACGTGTGGTGTAAGGATAGACAAATAGATCATTGAAACAGGATAAAGTCTAGAAACAAATTCACACATAGAGATCATGCTTGCAAAATTGCAAAAGAAAAAAATCAGAAAAGTTCAATGGCGAAAGAATACTCTTTTCAATAAATAGTGCTGAAAGAATGGGAGAGTCATATCTTTGAAAAATGAACCTCAACCTTTACCTCATACGGTACACAAAAATTGACTTGAAAAATGAATCACAGATTTTAATTTGTAAACTAAAACTACAAAACTTGTTAAAGGAAATATAGGAGAATATTTTAGGAATTTTAGATTGGGAAAGATTTTAAAAATACAACATAAAAAATATAAACTAGAAAAAAAGAATAAAGTTGACTTCATCAAAATTTAAAACTTTTGTTTGAAAAACAAAAAACCTGTTATTAAAAATGCTTGTTTGAAGAACAAAAAAACACCTGTTATTAATAATAACAGGTCAAAATGTTAAAATGAAGAAGCAACCAACAGACTGAAAGGAAATATTTGCAAAACTTGTATTTGATAAAGGACGTGTATCTAGAATGCATAAAAAATTTAAGACAGTATAAATTTTTAAATATCAAGTTTAAAAATGGGGAAAATATTTGAACAGACCACCAAATAAGAAAAGTGGATATCAAATATGAATATCAAATAAGAACATGGAAAGATGCTTAACATCAGTAATGATTAGGAAAGTGAAAATTAAAACCATAATGAAATACCACTGCATACCCGTTAGAATGGCTAAAATTCAAAATTAATAAATGTTAGGAGGTGAAGGAATGGAAACTTTCACAATTAGCTGATGGGAATGTAAAATAATTTGGGCCCTTTGGACAATAGTTTGGCAGTTTCTTAGAAATTATACATATACCTAACATGTGATCCAACCAGTCCACTCCTAGGGATTATGTAAGAGAAGTCAAAGCGTATATCCACACAAAAATTTGTTGATGAGTGTTCATAGGAAACAACCCAAATGTCTATCAATAAGTGAATCGATAAACAAATAGCGGTATAGCCATGCAGTAGAATGCTCCTCAACAATAAAAAGGTAGGAAGTATTAATACATCCATCAGCTGGGATGAATCCCAAAATTGTTATGTTGAGTGAAAGAAGCCAGGCTAAAAGAGTATATATTCCATGATTCCATTCATAGTTCTAGAATATGCAAGCTAATCTATAAATAAATATTTGGGAAGAAAGGGTTATGAAAAGGGCCGTGAGGAAACTTTTGGGGATGATGAATATCTTTTTTAAAAAATATTTATTTTAGGTTTGGGGGTACACATGAAGGTTTGTTACACAGGTAAACTTGTGTCACAGGAGGTTTGTTGTACATATTATTACATTACCCAGGTATTAAGCCCAGTACCCAATAGTTATCTTTTCTGCTCCTCTCCCTCCTCCTACCCTCCCCTCCCTCTTTCCACGCAGTCCCCAGTGTCTGTTGTTTCCTTCTTTGTGTTCATAAGTTCTTACCATTTAGCTCCCACTTCTAAGTGAGAACATGGTATTTGCTTTTGTTCTGCATTAGTTTGCTAAGGATAACAGCCTCCAGTTCCATTCATGTTCTTGCAAAATAAACATGATCTCACTGTTTTTTATGGCTGCTGATGAACATCTTAATTGTAATGGTGGTTTTACCACATCATATGGCAGAACATAACATGATACACTTTAAATGTATGCAGTTTATAGTATATCAGTTTTATCTCAAGTTATCTAAAAAAAGTTATTGAATTGAATAAAATAAATATTTGCCTAAATAGCAGCAGTTCTTCTTTACCTTTTTAAAATCCAGTATACTTAAATTTAGTACATAATATTTTAAGATGGCATGTGTAACATCAACTTTTAAAATATCCTTTTTTCTATTTTTATCAGGTATCATTTTAAGTAGAATAATTTTTTTAAGCCTATCCCTGAAAGCAGGGAATGAGAGGAATGAAAGTAGCTAGTTATACAGTTAGGTTGGAGGGATTTTCTTTTTTAATATGGGAAGAGTTTTAATATGTTTCTTGGCTCAGGCACATGAAGTGGTAAAGAGGGAGAAGCTGCAGATAATAGACAATAAAGGGAGAGGGATAGGAGCAGAGTCCTCGGTGGTCTAGGAGGAGAATGGGGCCTAGGGCACGGATGAGGCTACTCACCCAGAAGAGTTGGAAACAATGAGTGTTAGTACACATATGGATATGCCTGGGACCAAAGGATGACAGTATTTGTCACCAAACCATGATTTTTAGGGAAAAAAGGAAAGTTTACAATTGGGAAGAGGAGGGTAGGAATGAGAGGCTTGCGGTGAATTTTTAGAAGTTTAGATTGGTTACATTTGGGAAGAGAAGAATCTGAACAGGGACATAGAAAAAGATGATCAAGGAAAGCTTCTGTTGTAAAGGGGAAACCTTTGAAGAAAATCAGAATTTTATTAAAATGAAAACGAGTTCATATTATACTGTTGTTCTACAGCTTGCTGCTTTCACTTCATAATGTGTCTTGGAAATCTTTTCCTTTCAGTACAAATGGACCTCTTGCTCATTTTAATATCTGTGTATTAGTATTTCATATGTGAATGTACCATAATTTATGTAACATTTTGTTTCCAACTTTTCACTATTAAATAATTGCTGTTGTGAGAAACCTTGTATATATCTACAAGGTGGGAGATGCTTTTGCTCAAGTAAAACTGTTTCTGATGCTAGATAACCTAGAAGTAGAATAATTTTGTCAGAGATTATGAACATTTTACATTTTGTTAGACATTTTCAAATTGCCATCCAGAATGGTTATACTGATATACTCACACGAATTGAGATACTTAATTTCCCTGTGCTCTCATTAGAAAGTGTTATTTCCTTTTATTTTTGTCAATCCTATGGCCAAAAAATATCTCCTTTGAAATTTGCAATTCTTCATGTTAGTGAAGATGAGCGTTTTTACTATATGCTTACAGTCCATTTCTATTTCTTTC